ACTTTATAAACTTAAAAAATAACAAATTATTCATTTTAATGTTTTAGTTATGAATATCATATTAATAAAATATTATATATATATATATATATATTATTATTTTTAATATAAATATACTAATCTATTTTAATTAATCAGTTTCTTCGGTTAATTAAATATATCGCACCATATACTGCGTTTCATAAAAATAACATACATTCTATTTATATGACAGAACATAAACATACATTCGATTTATTTGGTATTACCAAATTCAAACCATTTTCTTTTGGTAATGATCGAATATAAATAAAGATATACGGTTGATCTATAAAAATCAGAAACTATACTGGTAATGTTGTCGTTGGAAGTTGGAACCTTTGTGAATTAATGTGTGATTGCTTGTGTATATAACTATATAGATTTTGTTTTAGGGCAATAATGAAATATCTACTAGTCTACTACTACAATTCATTAACTATAAATAATATTTTAATTACATACTGTATTTTAATTTTGTTCGAATGGTGATTTAATTAAGATAATATTTCATGTATTTCATTATAAGTGTTATTTAGAGTTGTGCACACGGATTAATAAACAATTAATTTTATATATTTTTTATATAAAAACACAATTACTTATACACCTAACCACATTTTAACCAATAGAAAAATAAATCATATAATAAAAATATATTTCCCATTGAAAACCAAAAACAACACTTATTTTATAACAAAATTTTTTTTACAACGACACTTAATATGAAACAGAGAGAGTAGGTGATATAAGTTGTCGTGTTAATAATTAAGGAGCAACGGGCAAATATGATGGACATGAACACAGCTGTATCACTGCCTTGCCTTAGGAGGCAACCTACCCCAATATTAAAGTTATTTTAATTATTAGAAAATTTAGAATAATATGCTATTTTGATTGGAAGATCCCTATTTGTTATATTCAAACAGTGCCCATACTCAACCGAATAATACCACGAAAATATCTTTGAAAATTACATCGATCCGACTATCAAAGCCAGAACTGTATCTAAGACCATTATTCAAAAAAAATATATATATATAAAACCAATAATTTAGAAGCTAATACATTATTTACATTAGATATAATACTTTATTAGATTTTCACCCGCACTTTAAAAGCGCGGGTATATTTTTACCATTTTGATAAAATTTATTTAAATTAATTATTCAAATACAAAAATTTTAAAATTGTTTTCTTAATATTTAAAAAAGTTCTATTATAATGTTTGATTTTCACGTAATGTTTCCATATCCGACCCCGATCCATAGTTGAACCGGTACATCCGGCAATTTTTATATAATCCAGTTAAGATTTAATTAAAAATTTACTAATTAAAAATTTAAGCCAACCCAGTATATATCTTAAAACCCGCTATTAATCTGTATTATGATATCCGTTGATCCGTTAAATAACCCATAAAAATTGATAATATATTTTTAAAAATTTGTTAAATAATTCATATTTTTAATATTAAAGAAAATTGATTTTTTGTAATTTCTTTAATAAAAACTTTCTTGTCATTTGAAAAAATGAAACAATGGCAATAGAAAAAAACACAATTTATTCATATAACAATATTAGTTTCTTTTCGTTATTAATAACCTATGATAAGTTTACATTTTTACTCATTTTATAGCTAAAATTTAGTTTTTAAAACAAACTGAATTGACATATCATTATTATGGATAAAATGAAACAGTAAATAATAATTTATAATTTTTGATCGCTAAATAATATGATGCACATAAATATGATATTAAAATTAAATAGAAAATCATAATTTTCATAAAAGGAAAATTATTATTAATCACAAAAATAGAAAATATTATCACTTACCATAAATATAGGAGAGATTAAATTGTTTAATTAATTAAGATTTTAAAAATAAATAGTGGTATTATCTTATAAATGTGATAAAAATCTAGGGGTAGAATCCAAAATTTTAACAATATGATTCTGCTTTAATAGTATAGATAGAGAAGCAAAAGCAAAAAAGTATATCCGCAAATATAAATGATGTTGCATAAAGAGAAACAAAATGAACCCAAGAAAACTTCTTCAGATTTCAATCTTTGTGTTGTAATGTTTTTTAATGTTACCTTTGTATTTGATCGTATTTCTATTGTTCTCTGTATTTTTATTGTAAACTCACATTTTTTTTAAATACAATTGTTGTTAAAAAAATAGAAATGCCGAGTCTAAGAGATTTATTTTACAGTAGTAACTATTTCTATTAGCTTACAAAATCACAAATAAAGATCACCTCTTTTTGACGAAATTTGGCAGCGCAGTAATAACAAAAGGATGGGGGTGGGGATTCAACGTATGACTCTACACGTCCAATTGTTTAGTTATGAACATCAGACTGGTTCTGAAATAAAGAGTAAGAGTTTGTGGGCAAAAAAATGATATTAACGGGGGCATCATAAAGTCTGTAGTAACAAAATTTAATGATGTTAACCAAAAAAAATTAATGGTTGTATGGCATCTGTATATTATTAAAATCCTCAAAAGACCAAAAAAAAAAGAAAAGAAGTACGAACAAGATTTCGAATCTTAGTTAAGAATTTGAGATCCGGTGTGTTTAATTCTTACAATGACTTTCTGGAAGTAAAATGGTGAGAAAGGGGAAATTAGCATCAATATTTGTTACTTTCAAAGCTGGTTTCTTGATTGAAAAAAGTGACAACAGCGAAACGTCATCGTTCGTTGGTTTTCTTACATGTTTCAGTGTCAACATAAAGAGGTAAAACCAAGTCCGAAGCAACTCAATGTGTCTGTCTATATTGGTCTAATGATAGGAAAAACATAATATATTAGCGTTAATTCAATTAACAAAGAACATGAAAGGTATGAATGGTGACCAAGAAATGACAGGAATAATTCATTCTCTAACATTCCTAAAAAAATTACCATTCGCAAGAAATAATTTTTTTTATTTGTTCCTTCTCATTCTTTTTTTATAGAAAAATATAAAACAAAATTATTCTTTGTTCAAAATTGATAAAGAACAATCATTTTTTTTATATATTTATTCTTATCCATTGTTTTCCCTTTCATTCTTATCGTTTCTATAGTGGTTACCAGTCAGATCCAAAATTATTGTTTGATGTGTTAAATGTGACGTCAAAAGAAGCTATATTATGTTTGTACATGAATTAGTTTGTGATTTTAACTAAATATAGCCAGACAATAATCTTGATCGAAGATCGTGAGGTTTAGATATTTTTTGGACTTAGACTATGATTAAGAAATACTTTTTTAATTTCTACTAAAAATTCTTAATTTAAAAATCGGTTCTTAATTTTTTTTGAGTTAAAAATTAAAAAATACTTTCTTAATTTCTACTAAAAATTCTATCATATGAACTTTGGATTAATCATGCCCTTATGCCTTTTAAAGAAAGTCATTTATTAGATTCATAATTTAAGTGCTTCAAACAGGATTTACGATCTTTCTTATCTTTTTCTTTTGCTAACAAAACTGATCACGTAAATATTTTCTTTTAAACTTTTAAAAGGAAAAGGAATTTAACGAAGATCACAATAAGTCCTTTGCGATCGGTCTTGATAAGCGTGCCATATGCCAACTTAGATTCGATTATATAATCAAGTCCATCATAGACAACATTCTTGCATTATATATACTCATATATAACAAGGCGTATTCATTGTGATAATTTGATTATGTTCACGTCTTCTTCAGCTGTTTGTAAGTTATGGCATCAATGCGAAGTACCAAGACAAAGCATCTCAAAATTTCACTCAACTATTGGCTGTAAATTATACGACAAGAACAGAAAATATTGAAATCAATGTATGAAAAGTCGCATGAGCAAATTCTGGGGAATCGGATGCATTTGATCAATCGTTTCTGACATATTTCAATTGGATTTATAAACAAAACATAATAGCAAGAAGTCAAGAAACAAAAGGGGGAAATGCTACAGGACTACTCTCTTTCTCATTATAGTGACTGCCTGGATGGTGAGAGCGGTTCATGCACCTTGATTTGTCCAGACTCCAGAAGAGCCTTGTTCACGGCTCGTGGGTCTGACATCCAACCGATTTAACACATGTTTTTATAAAATGGATCATGACCGTCGATCCAAATAAAGGATAATCAAAAAACAAAATATAGGATAATCCTTTCGTGAATTGACACGCTCAATATGACTTCAATATAGTAAATGCACAAAATTTATCTTCACCAGCTAATGAAAATTGGATTTTAGTTTTTGGTTAGTAATTTGCGATACCATTCGACTTCAAAGTCGATACAATACATGATAACAAGGAAGAAGAAACTATAATACATCCGAGTTGCTATGATTCGGGACAAAGTGATCGAATATTCAACATATAATTACACCAACTGTAAGTCTGTAACTTATAAGTATAAACTTGTATTGGAACTTATTACGTAAATAATTTATTTGTTATCTTCTAAACTACACGTTATCTATTGTTTAAAAAAACTTCACATTTTCTATAGTTCAAAATAGTGCCATGCGCAAAAGACATATACATTATATGCATGGAAAGATGGAACATCAACATGTTAAAGCAAGAAAACATTTTTCAACACCTAGTTAGTATACGGTATGCAGAGATATATTCTGCGTGTAAATTTTTAAAAGGGTGAAAACAAATTAATGAAAACAATCCTTATTGTCACATAGTGTGTATATATAATTCATATAGCTTAACATTATGTTTTATAATAAGTTAAAGAACAAGGATGGGTCACAGTTACAATTTTCTATATAAATCCTTCACTTCCTGTTACATTTCTGAATCTCTCATTGGCAGTAACAGTTTGCAATCTCATACAACTCTCCATCTCTCTCCTATATATATCATCACACTTCTTCTGTGATTCAGACACAATATTTTCAATCTTTGTCAGATCTTTCTCCTTCCTCCATACCTTATCTCAGCAGCTTCTTCATATCTCTCTCCTGGAAAAAGAAGAAGAAAATGGATAACGCTGACATACTAATGAACATGATGATGCAACAGATGGAGAAGCTTCCTGATCACTTCTCTAACCCAAACCCTAACCCTAGTTCCCATAATATCATGATGCCCTCCGAGTCCAACACTTATCACCCTTTCTTTTACAACCACAACAACCATACCCATCTCCCAGTATTTAACCCAACCATGACTCACCACCACCAACCCGGTTTAAATTTCCGGTATGCCCCTTCCACGTTATCATTTCTCCCGGACAAAAGAGGAGGAGGCGGCGACAATGCTGACATGGAGGCGATGCGAGAGATGATCTTTCGAATAGCCGTGATGCAACCGATACATATTGACCCTGAATCCGTGAAGCCACCTAAGAGGAAGAACGTGAGGATCTCTAAAGATCCACAAAGCGTGGCGGCTCGACATAGGAGGGAGAGGATAAGCGAGCGGATAAGGACTCTTCAACGCCTTGTCCCCGGCGGAACCAAGATGGATACAGCGTCGATGCTCGATGAGGCTATCCATTACGTTAAGTTTCTCAAAAAGCAGGTGCAGTCTCTGGAGGAAGCATGAGGTGGCTAACGGTGGAGGAATGACGTCAGTACGGGCGGGTGCTAGTGGAAAAGGATGTGGGAGTGCGCGATCTGATCATCACCAGATGCTTGGAAGTGCACAGATTCTTAGATAACGTTCTTTTAATGTATCTAATATTCACCAGATTACTATCTAATAATATTTTAATGTCTGGGAAAAATATTCACCAGATTACGTACTAATGTTCTTTTAAATATTCACCAGATTACTAATGTTCTTTTAAATATTCACCAGATGCTTGGAAATGCTCATACTATTAGATTAGTATTATGAAAGGGAATAGTGTCCTTGGGAGGAGTGGAATTTTATATTATGAACCTGTGAGGGTATTCATATTTCCCGTTTCGATCATCTTCGGGATGGTTAATTCAGTCCGGCTTGTGCTGTTAGTTAGAGTGATAGTCATTTCTAATAGAATTGGTCTTTGATTACCACTGATCGATCAATGAGACATATTCAAGTTTCAGACATATAATTAGCTCATGTGTTGACACTTTTTCCTTCTTGCCATTACGTAGATTTCTCGGTACTTGAATCGACTACATTCATTGTACAAGATAGACAAACCCAGATACTTTAAAAAAGTAGTCCATTTTATACTAAGTGTATAATTATTTATTAATTACAAATAATAAAATTATAAAAAAGTTTTAGAATTTAAAACATCAAATATTATATAATAATAATTTTGGTTTAATATTTGATGTTATGGTTGTAGATGACAAAAAAATCGACACCAAAATACTAAATTTGGTGAAATTTCAATTCTAAATTTGGTGTCATGATTTGGTAATGCTCTAACAAAAGTTAAGAAAACCAAAGTTTGGAGCAGAAAGAGTCAGTGTGCCACTGAATGCAAGTTCAAATAAAGACCCATTTCAATACAGGCCCTTTAAGCCCGAAGCCAATATTAGCATAGGCAGTGCACAACTGCAAACCAGATTCACAATCATTTAATACTTGAAGCTGGCTGTAAAGATTTCAGATGGGGTATATAATAACTTCTTATATCACAAGATGCAGGAGATGAAGATACGGGTGGTAGTTTTCTTACGTTCACAGTATTTAAGACTTGCGTAGCGTTTAAAACATTCTCATATTTGTGGAGAAAATGATACATCTAATTCATCAAATGTTTGCTTTACACAGTTCGGGATTTATATGCGTATTGCATATTTTTTTTTCTGCAACAAGGGTTAAATACGTATTGCAGATATGTATATTTGCATATATTTCAAGAGTTTTTTTCTGTGTTTGTCACATTTCTATAGCTTTTCTTTAATTTGTTTGCGGTTTGACCTGCGTCGCATGTTTGAAGTAAATTAAAAACGTTACAGGGGCCTCTTATAACGTTGAGATATTACAAGGCCACAATGAGTCTGATTGGTGTATGGGCTTTGAGGACTTTGTGGTTGTGTAAAGCCACTAAAGCCAAATATTTGCCAATCACTTTTTTTAGGCTTTAGAGATTTGTAAAGCCACTAAAGCCCACTTTTAAAAAAACTGTTTTTTTGTTCATTTTTTTCTACAGCCACTTTTTGAGACTTTACAACACACTCTTTTTTTGTTGCTATGATAA